TCCTCCAGAGCTGACTCATAGGGCCCCTCGCTGTCGGAGTCTGGTGGCAGCTCCAACGGCTCCTGCTGGGCCACAACATGAATGCATACTTAAAATGATATGTAAGAGAATAAAAAAAAATCTTTGAAAAAAGAAAAAAAAACTATATTCCCTAAAAAGGGGAGGCAGAAGACTGGGCAAAAACTAACCAGCATTGGGAATTCACTGACAACTTCTTGAGAAGAAGACTCACAAACATCTTTTTTCAAGGGTACTGAGAAACCCTGTCCCTTAAGGATGAATTAATCCAGCCACAGGTGGCCTTGAACAGCCAGAAAAGCACGGATCGTGTTCAAAGACAATCATGTCCCAAGAACTGTTTCCATATCCTTGGGTCCAACAGGACCAAACTGTTCCCAGATAACCAGGTAAGTCAATTCCCTAGACAATCTCCATAGGCCTATATCACTCTTGGCCTTCAACTGGGAACAAATTCAGGCAAATGTATCCAGTAGATGCACACGAAATTCCTCTGGGTGATCCTAGAACTGTGATTGCGCGCACACGCTGCCTTGTGGGTGCACGTATGCAGCGACAAAAAGGTTAGCTATCACTGTCCTAGAGCTAAACCTCCGAACAGAAATTAAATCCTTGAGTTCTAGATTCTAATAATGACCATCCAAACAAAGGTGCTCTATATATGTATATTCCAAAGATGCCCAAATTGGAAAAGTAACACAAATTGTTGGCTTTTTATGCATAGTTTTTCTATGTATTTGCATTATATAACTATTATTATGTATTGCTTTTTAAGTTTTTTAAAGTGATAAACACATATAACCCTAGGGGATTGTTGTTTCCATAAAAATGTTACTTTTATCCCTTCAACTATAGAAATCAATATTTCAGTAATATTTACCTTTACTTTTATTTTCTCCATTAACTCATTGGGTTCTAACCATATAAATAAGGTATCATTTTACTTTTGTGGTTGACATATTGACATCTTTCAGACAGAAAATTTTGTAGGTATTCCTTTTGAACTTCACATATTTGTCATATGGTATTTTTGGAGATGAACATTGGGATTTTCTGCTAAATGGTAGATTTTTCCCAATGACCCCTGTTTAAAAATAAGCTGTTTTGATTGATGTTTTTATTTTGAACTGGATGAAAAACAGCATTCCACCCACATACAAAAGGAGAATTTGTACTCGTTTTCCTCTAATAATCTACATATTTCTGCGGGAAAAAGATTTATGCCTTAAGATTTTAAAAGCTACAAGTCCAGTTCCTTACATCCACTTTACAAATAATGAAACTCACCTGTTCGAGTATAATTATAAATCGAGAGGCTGGCGGTAGATCATAAGCCAATACAATGTAAGTTGGTCCAAATCCAAGACAAACTGTTTGGAAAATCACAAACAGTGCCCCAAATAAAGTGGAACGGATGATCTTGTGGGAGGAGTTATGGAACCCCTGGGCCCACTGGACAAAGAGGGCGTAGGGCACAAGTAACGTGGAGAGGAACATGCAAAGCCAAGTTGGAACGACGATGGAAATTTTGCCAAAAGAGTAAACGAGGAAATCAAATTCTAGCACAAGCCTTCAAAAACAAACAAACAAAGAAAACAAAAATATTAATGGAATTTCATTCACCAGGCAAAGATATAATATTTGGGGTGCGATTGGGGGTGGGGGAAAGGAATTAGGAGCTATTAAAATCAAGACTACATGGGGCTACCCTTGAAAAGCGTTCGGAGACTGCAGCTAGTCCAGAATGCGGCCGCACGAGCGATATTGGGTGCACCGAGGTACACCAACGTTACACCTGTCCTCCACGAGCTGCACTGGCTACCAATTAGTCTCCGGACGCAATTCAAGGTGTTGGTTATTACCTTTAAAGCCCTACATGGCTTAGGGCCTACATGGCTTAGGGCCAG